TGTGGTTCATAGCGCGCGAGAGAGAGCGCCACATAATTCCCATGCATATATAAACTCATTTCGAATCTAATGATTTTGTTGATTTTATGCGTGAATCGTCTAATTGAATTTGGATATGTGAGCGAGAGCGTGAGCGAACATATCGTTTTGTTGTGTGCATATACTGACGAATGCATACGCCGTTCTCGTTTTCTGCTTGATATTCAGACTCAGGTGGTTTTTCTTCTCTCGAATGATGGTGTTTTTTTTTTGTTATTATTCGTCAAACAATTAGCTAGCACTAAGCAAAATCATCTGTTTGCTACTCTGTTAGTCTTACACCAAAGATCATATGATGTTGGAGTGTGTGTGTGTGTGTGAATTCATTTAGGAAGGCAACAACATTATATCACGCTGCGGTGTGTCTCTATTGACGCTGCATGTGCGAATACTTTCGATTTATTATCAATCACATTTTATGCACACATATGATTCAGCTGGGAGTCTGTACGATGGCGGTTTGATGCTCACACACCACCACCAGCCATCACTATCTCATTCTCATTCTCATTCTCTCTTTCTGTATTTCTCGATCTATCCCTATCTCTGCACAGGTTACCAGCCGATTTTTTTTTATTTTCGCTTTTTTCACCATTCATACTCCATATAAGTTTTAATTAATTGGCGCTTAAACTGCATTTTAACCATTCGATCAGTGTGCAAGAATGTTCATTTGTATAATGTTTCATTTTAAATACGCGCGCGCGCAAACACAAACAAATACATCAACAACAATATAGACAAAACACCCAACAAATATGGCTAATTAATTTCCAGCGATTAGTTTTACATGAGAAATTCGAAAAGAATACCCGCAGCAGCAAGCGCATATACTTGCAATTTGGTGAATGTCAAGAATGTAGTTCTAAAAATGAAGGCGGTATTTAATGCAATCGTTTCTTCGTTTTCATTTTGCTATTTCAAACAACCGTATACTCGATCAAGGTGTGAAATTGAGCTCGATGTGAAACCGCATTTCCCACCAAATTATTATTATTATTATTATTACTCATTCGTTTTAGTGTCCGCTTAACTAAGCTGACGATTCAGGTATACAGACAATTTTTACATGTTTCCTCAGTTTTTTCAGCATATGGACAAGAGTTTTCATATTAGCTTAGCCAGTTTTTAGTTCAGTTCAATTTTTACAGAGCATTGAAGTTGCTAGCTTCACATAGTATATTGCACTGTACATAGTATATGTCCATAAGAAATAAACAGAGACAATGCAAAAAAATAGGCAGATTTGTTCACAAACAACAAAAAATAAACAAAACAAAAACCCCATAACTAATGCATTGGCAATATAAAACCAAATGGCGAACATTTTACATTTCTTATGGACTGTATACTATGTAAAGTGGCAATGCGTGGATAAAGGCAGACTTGTTGACAAATAACGGTAAATGAACCAAAAAAAAATCTCTCTCGGAGTCTGATGTATACGCTTCACTGTCTGTTTTCTTGTGAATACAAGGGACAAATACTATTCTTGAGAATCGTTGAATGAACAAGCGACCGTCACAGCGAATATGCACGCAACCAACAGCTACTGTTGAAGAGATCTGTTCACCAGCAGCGCTACATAGCCAGCAACTTCAATGCTCTGAATTTTTAGATCAGTTTTTAGTTCAGTTCAGTTGAATAAGTTTAGATTAGTTTCCTATAGAAATTGGTAAATAAATGAATAGCTAATGAAAATGAATAAATTAATGGCATTTCTTTCGTTGTGCTTTTATCAGTAATATGAACACATATATTCACCATGAAAAAAAAAGTTTTTACCATGACAAAAATGCTCACCCGCAAATTGATTGTCTTGAATAGCAAAGGACTCATTGCCGCCGTCATCATAGTCGTTTTTCTTCTTTTTGTTCACCGATTATTGTTATGGTGTGATATGCACCATTACCGTTTCTAAATAGTGTGACCGAATATCAATTTGACGTGTGATCCGAATCAACGGCAACGTTATTGGTCATTTTCCGTGCGCGTGGGTCGCTGTCGCTTTCCATTAATTTTACTCTGCATAACGTCAAACCAATTCCGAATTGTGTCGCCTGAGAACACCTCAATAATCAAGAATTTGATTCACACACAAATCACAATGATTTAATCATTTTCACTTTGGTTTCAATTACAATTCTCATTGCCATTTGCTCTTGTTATTGTTCTTCCAGCCCTTTGGCACTCATTAAATTTACATGCGCCGATGCGATACGCATTACCGGTGAACAATATTAAAATTTCAATTCATTACTAGCCGTCGCCGACGGCTAAGCACCAATTCATAACGATTACTGGTCTTTGGAATGATATGAATGGCTATTACTTCGTCAACATTGGTCGATGTCATTAAAATCCTGCTAATTTGGATTCATTCACCATCAATAAAGCCAAAGCCAAATCCAAAGCCAAAGCCAAAGCCAATGCCAATTACACTCCGACCAGACGGTAATGCAATGCAATTGCATGGGCGAAAATGAAATGGGTAAAATGGGTAGTCAATCGAAAAAAAAAACTTTTCAATTGGCATTTCATAATAAGCGAATCTAACTGGTGCAACATGCGTAACCATATCACACTCAATTTTTGTATAGAAGAATATCAAATGGCTCATTATTTTGTTTTTCGTTCATTCATATTTAACGATCGTTTTACATGGCAATTTCAGAATTCGTGATAGAATTTCACATTCACTTGATGTTGTGTATTTAATCGTAAATATTAGAAAAAAATTATGCGAACTATTTTCAAATAAAAATCGAAGCAACAAAATTCGAATGAAAATGAAAAACGAAGAATTCGCATTAGAATGGGTTGCATTTTTATTAACGTTGAATAGTTCTCAATTGCATGTGCTTTGACAAGTGGAAGACAAGAAAAACGAAATATTATTCGAAACCACGTGAATATTCAATGAAATGAGCCAAATAAACAAGCATATGGTCATTTATTTATTCATCGAATACGAAGCGAAATAATTCGTTTGTGTTTGTGGAAATGAGAATGGATGGTTTTGTGTGGACAAAATGTCCATTAATATATAATAGAGTTTGTGTCAGCGTCACTTTTGTTAAATGGTGTCGCAAAATAGTATAGAGAAGCTATCGAATATTAAAGAAGACTATCGTCTGTTTGAACGTTCGACAGTGAAATGAGATATATATATATATATACAGTGTCCTGTGTCTCGATTGAACTCTATGTGTCAATGTTGTGCGCGGCACGCGCGTTTGATTTTTTCTTTCTTCGAACCCTTTTTATCTGTGGCTGCATTTCATTTCACACACAAGAAAAAAAAAACACGCTAACACATAATGAAAAAAAAAACGTAAAATATTCGATACAGTGCTGCAAAGTTGGGTGCGCGTGAGTGAGCAGGCGGTTGGGCAAACGCAACGTTAGACAGCCGCTTTTCTCTCATTCGAGCTACATTATTTATAATGATTGTTTCGTGTTATATTAGTCGGGTGTGTATATATCTCCCTTTGATTATTGTTATTTTATTGATTAGATTCAGATTATTTGATTCGATGTTAATTAGAACGTGTGACAACGACAATAAAAAGAAAAACGAGAAAACGTAACCCGCTGCCCCGGCGTACCTAGTGGCATAGGCGTAAATACATTCACCCATTCATTCATTCATTCATGCATGTGTATTGACTCGTTCGTAATGTGTATTTGTCTATCGCCATTTAAAAGCGACAGCATCAAAGAAACAAACGAAAAAAGGTACGACACACACTCATACACACGCTGTCGCATTTTATCCACTCAAACTAACAAATTAAATAGGATCCTAATTCTTTTGTTGAACAAATCGAAGGAACAATAGCAGACCAAGAGCAAAAAAAAAATACACTCCTTGTATGTTCAGGAGGCACAGAACTGTTCCCTTGTAGTATTTTCCAATGAGGAACAAAGAGTAAAAGTTAAAAACCATAATTATTCATTTTCATTGCTTTGAGTCTATTTTCTATTTCGATTTGTGTGTATGTGAGCGTGCGCGCGCTATTTGTCCTATTGCTCCATCCGTTTGAATGACTTCTTTCATTTGAACCATCAAATCAAATAAGTACCAGAGTCAATGATATAAAACGCCACCGCCGCTGCCTGATTTGGTGGCGGACAATTTCGGCGAAATTGAAATAAACCAATGATCGATTTAACTTAATTGATGAAATTAAAATGATCCACAAAACTAGACTATGATTCTAAAATTACGATTACTTTGAATATTACAGTCCCAATTAAAAATCCTACTCCGCCCGGCTGACCGACTCGGAGCAAAGGGTAGCTTCGAGAATAAATGCGGATTAAATTGAAATTTAGTAATTAGAAGTATCAGGAATCAGTGGCTGCTTCTAATCAATTCTCGATTGGCTTATTACCGGGTTTTATTTTATAAGCAGGGCGCTATTGCTGCTCGGAACGAATGTGTTGGCCGTTATCACAAATTCATCGCTATAATTGTTGTTTTTTAAAATGCAACAGTATCCATTTTTGATTGGAACAATGTACAACTACATTAAATGGTTTCGAATGCAATTGTTCGAAAAATGAACCATCAACCATCGTACACAAAATCGAACCAAACCGCGTTTATTAATTCATTGAACGATGGATATTTTTCCATGGGCGACGGTGATTCTGATTCAATGCAACGAAATTGCATGTAAACTAATCACTTGATTTTTCGAGTAGCTTATCAATCATGACAAACTACTGACCTCCACTGCGATTGCACCTACGGAATATTTGTTTGATATACTCCATTGATCTTGCGGCTCCTTCTGCTGCTGCTGCTGTTGTTGTTGTGGCTATATTATTTTTCTATGCACTCTTGTTGTTTATTTTTTCAATCATTATTTATTTATTGATTGAATTTCATTTGTTTATACGTTCGTTGTTTTGTTCATCATTCTCTTTCTTTCTCTCTTTTTTCAAATCAATAGACAAATGCGAGGATACAGGATTACGGGTAAATGGAAAAGGCAAAAAAATGCGCAAACCACGAACCATATACAGTTCATTACAATTACAACAATTAAATCGACGGTTTCAACGAACGCAGTACCTAGCATTACCAGAACGTGCTGAATTGGCGGCGAGTTTGGGATTAACACAAACACAAGTAAGTTTCTATTGTTTTGCTTTCTTTCTTCGCTTACAGTTATTATTTTCCCGCTATTTATCTATTTTGTGTTTTTTACGAAACTTTCCCGAAATAAATCGCAATCAATGTGATGGAATTTCCCTCGATCTCACCGATGTTTTCCAAAAAATCCAATTACACTTTGTCCAAAACTGAAAATTGTAAGCGTGTGTGTGTGTGTGTGTGTGTGAATTTGGCTTGCGAACTTAATCAAATTAAATTTCAAATTGCCTGAATGCACCCATTTCATCAATGTGTTTATTTGATTGGAGTAAATCTGAAGCATATTGTTTTTCGATTGTATGGCAAATTTGATGGGTCGGTTTTGCATCAATCCCAATAAAATTCATTAGAATGTCAAAAAAATAAACGGCAATGCCAGCCAACCATCCGCATACACATACACATTGACTTTATGTCTTTATGCCAATCAAGCTACCATTCATTGCGAAGGGGCTGTTCCCCAAACAAACGGTACATACACACACAATTTTCGATCGACTGCACTCCCTGTCTCTCATTCAAGTTCGTAATGCCGTCATCGCATTATTCACCCTTCGTTTTCAACGGGACGAAAAGCATACGGTCAAAAATGGATTTGCGTTGATTTTGGCGTATCCTGTCTTGTCTCACAGGTTCCATTCGCACAGCAACAACAATAACGACAGCATAATGAATGAAAAGAGACGCAACAAAACCAAAAACTCAACACAATTTCAAATTGAAACGCTGATTTCACTTCTTTTTATCTTCTTCTTCCCCATTTTTTTTGTGCTTGCAAAAAATTCAAACCGCCATTTGAGGTTATGAATAATTATTATTGCTGACATTACGTGGCTTTCTTGCATAATGTCGAACAAAAAAGTAATCAGAATCTTGTTGAATATGTATTTAATGTGCCCCTGTTGCTTCTGCTGTGATGATGATCGATAAAAGGGTAGATTATACTCATGGGGTTAGTGGGTTTGTTGTAACTTTTGTTCAATGCTTTATCGCTCGTTCTTGCTTGCACTCGCTCTCCGCAGTGTGTCCGCATTGTATTTTACTGTTATTTTGTTCATTGTATTCATTTGTACTGTTTGGCTTCTGGTACACTAACAATGGTGCGCTTGATTCAATTTCGTTTAATTTGTACATTGTATGCGACACAAATACACATAATGCGCCCGAAACGAATCGGTGTATATTTCTTGATGTTTATTGTTAGTAAATTTAGATTAAATGCTTTTCTCTTATTATCATCGCCTTCAATACAAATAATTACGGATCAGATATACCGCATTTGAATGCAGTGAAATTGTTACTTGATTTGTTTTTTTGATCTATCAAAGAGAGAGAGAGAGAGAGAGAGAGAGAGAGAGAGAGAGAGAGAGAGCGACACTTATTACCATCATCATCAAATTAGTCATATCGAATCTGACATAATGACGACGATAATATTGCAGGAGATTTATTCAATTATTCATACAAATGTAACAATAACAAAAAAAGGAATAAAAATGAAAATTAATTTATTAAAGAGATCATTGACGCGTGATTCTCTTCATATCAATTAGTTGAATTTTTCCTGTTCAAAACGCATGGTCAATTTGAAGCATAATAAGGAAGAAGGAAAAAAAACGTATGTGATTGTTTTTCTATTTCAATTACGTATTTTCTCTCGCTCACTTAATTTTTCGTGTGTTGATTTATTGATTTGAATGTTATCATTAGTAATTGAATGTGATACGTCAACCATTTGGGCCAATGATAGAAGTTATTGTATTAAAAATTGGGAGTAAAATGCAGGAGTTTAAAGAAGCTCAAATGATATAGAAGGAAATTATCTTTGAGTAGGTACAATGAATTTTGGGTCATTTCTTCGCCCACTTTGTCTATTCCAAAATAGAATTCAAGCTAATTGGATAATGGTATTATTTAACGAATTGAATTATTAATTCAGAAAATAATTGAAATATTAAAACAGAAATCAAATCACCAATAAGAAAAAGACAAATGAACCGAAACTATAACGTTTGGTGGACCAGAAAAAAAAATCAACCAACCGACCAAATGGGAATCCCTTGTGTTAACGAACGATGACATAATGAACGATGAGAACTTTGACGTTGACCTCACCTCTTGGCACTTACATTTTGATGTATTTATCAAAAAGTTGTCAAACTAACATGACATAAAAAACGCATTCGATTGGTTGCTATTTCTCTCTCTCTCTCACCACAGGGTAATTTCATCATTGATTTGTTCAAAGACACAAAGGAATTTTTTTTCGTTAATAATTATTTAATTAAAGAACATATTTTTTCTTCGAATTTTCGTCTTTTTCACATTTTAAAAACTCCTGTAAAAAATGTAGCATATTCCCTAAATGAAATATGAATCCAGCGTTATTATTAGTTCGATTTATTGTGTTGTTATTTTAAACGTGTACGTAAACGTGCGTATATGTGTGTGGTTTTTCCGTTCATTCGTTTCGTCTTCCATTTCCGCCCCAACGAATCAAATGTTTCGATAATAGGTAAAGTCGAGAGACTCAAACTCAATTTATAATTCGATCGACCAGTCGAAATCCGTTTTACGTCGTTCGAACATTTTCGAATCTGTCTTTTTTCCTCCTTCTTTTGAATTGATTTAAAATTTGAATTATTAAAATATTTGCTTCAATTTGAGCGCGGCCTATATAATTTTCGTGTGCCGTCGAGAAATAAATGGTGCAGCGTGTAGATAGCGGTTGAGAATTGAGCCTCCCTTCAAATATACACACAATACGCGAGCGCATTTGCCACTGAAAATCTGACGGTGACCACGCTCTCGCATCGTATATTATGTGTACAAACACTTTTCGAATGTGTGAGTGTGTTTGTGAATTTTACAAATTTTACCTTCTATTATACACATTTTGAATTCTATGTGTCTGTGTACTGTTCCTCCCCTCCCCGTTCTCTCTCTCTCTCTCTCTCTCTCTCCAGAAAATGATTACCTGTGCTCTTCAAGTATCACATATTGAGAAAATTAAAATTTCATAAAACCGCTAAATATAACAAATTGCTTTTCATGCATATTTCAATAGAAAGATGCAGGTCTATGCGAGAAAAAAACACTCGAAAAGAATTTTCGTGAGCAGCCCCAAAAATACACAGCAAAAATAGATGTATAGTCCGATATGTAAATCCAATTAAATCAATTACGTAATTGAAATATCAATATAATTTGAATATTTTATTAGCATCAAATTATTTTCATATTAAGCCAATAAACTTCGGAAAAAAAACCCAAGCGTCGTTGTACGTATTTTCTATCATTATGGATTCCGTTACACCTCTATAATATTGATGGGGAAATGTTTCGGGTATTGTAAACATTTGTCAGAAACTGGGAAAATTGTGTGAAACGTGGAATGGGAAAACTGAAAATCTGTTAGAAATCATATCAACCAGCAACCGAATGGTTTGTGCGGTATGTAATTTATGCTGTAATTTTGGCGCACGTGATTTTGAACTTCAACACTTTTGAAGCAATATTTTTCGTTCATTTCTAAGTTAATATCATTGAATGAGCCACATTCATGAGATTTGGTCAGTTGTTGGGGTTAAGACATTTCTAAATTGAATTAAAATCTTTTCCCATTGTTTCATTCGATTAGGAAAAAACACACCCATATGATATAATAATAATATTGATGATGTGGACGTGAAAAGAATAGGTCAACACTCAAATTGGTCATTTGTAGTAGGCGTTAAAGTCAATTCAATTACATTCATGTTACAATTTCGCGTCTGTCCAATTTGGTGTTTGTAGATTTGGCAGTGGTGTATTTCTATTTTCGGTCATCGTAAAACCATCATTTATTTAATAATATATCCATTTCAGTATTTAATTTCTCATTAAAGTCTGTCAGGTTCAATCCGAACGAAATTCATTGTCGTGATAAATGCATTTGTTGGCTTGCATTTGTCGAAAAGATTTCAACTCTATCGGGTAGAGTTAATGTTCTGAACGAGAGAGAGAGAGAGAGAGAGAGAGAGAGAGAGAGGTGCGTCTGATCAAGTAGCGGAAAATTGACATGAATTTCACAGTGAAAGTTCCCATGTTTACATGCACACGGTACGCTAACAAACCCATCTAAAACTCTAATCGATACGCGAAGAAGTGGAAACAAGACCGTAGAGCGTCGCTTCGCTCCGCGTTCTTGAGTTTTCAGCTATTTTGTTGTTTCACAACAAACTATTTTTTGGCGCACTACATGAAATGTATTTCATCAAAGTAACTTTGAAGTAATATATTTATTTGCAACAAAAAACAGAACAAAATTCCCAGTTATTTCAAAAATGAATTAAAAGATCTTGGTTTTATTTCTTTTTTGAAATATGCTGCCTTTGATTTAAATTAAATAAAAAATATGAACATAAAATTCAAATTCACCATAATTTGTTTAATCACTCAAAAAGTATTAAGAAAAAAAGCAGATTAGTAGCTCTACATTTCATGTTGTGCTAAAAAGAGTAGCATATTTTGTAGCATGCATGTATGTGACTCTGTGCGGCTCTGACATGCATTTTTATATGCCATTTTAAGTATCGAGCAGAGTGGAAAAGCGAGCAACTCAGTTTCTAATAGAAAAAAAATGGCATTTGGACTACATTCCTAGAAAGGATTTCTTTTGTGCTTTAGCGCACACACATACCTACCGATACCAATACATGCGATACATTTTGCACAGCGTTTTCTTTTATTTCTCTACTCTTCATTCGGTTGTGCATACACTTGTTATTTTCTTGATTTAACCGGCTCATTCGCTTCATGTGCACTAGTCTCATTTTCGTTGTTGTTGTTGCTGTTTCTTCGTTGTTCATAAATCCATTTCGATGGACTACGAAGTGAGCGCCCGCACGCGCACTTAAGCGCAAATGTGGTGAAAATCGTAGAGACCGAATGTGTTTAACTCAGAACATGCACACAATATGAATTCGACGAATAAC